ATACAGGTAAGTCCCCAGTTTAAGAATGAGTTCTGTTCCCAAGGTCTGTCCTTAAGTTGAATTTGTATGATTTCTTTCTTTGTATATGATCAATCTTTTTATACAGGTAAGTCCCCAGTTTAAGAATGAGTTCTGTTCCCAAGGTCTGTCCTTAAGTTGAATTTGTATGATTTCTTTCTTTGTATATGATCAATCTTTTTATACAGGTAAGTCCCCAGTTTAAGAATGAGTTCTGTTCCCAAGGTCTGTCCTTAAGTTGAATTTGTATGTAAGCCGGAACAGTATTATTGTATAATACTGTATAAGTAATATTGCGTAATTAACTCAAACCATTTAACTTGAATCATTGTGTATTTAACTTGAATTTTGCTACAATAGGCTCCTTTCTTAACTATGGATCATCCTTAAACCAGGCATTCTTAACCCAGGGACTACCTGTACCTACTGGATTTTTATTTGTTTTTACATTTAGGTATAAAACATGACTTGTGCCTGACACATCATCTCTAGCAGCTTGCTCTTTAAACTGTGAACTTGCTGCTGCAAATATTTGTATTTGCCTTTATCTAGCAAACTGGGCATTTTAGTGCAAGAAAGTACCTTGAGTATGCAGTTAATGAACACTGCCCGTGTTATCGCAACAATTTACAGAAGGGCGTACAGAGTTCATAAGGATATTAAATATAGTCTTCAGTTGTAACTCTATTCTAGTTAACAGTAAAAAAAATCTACTAGTGTTGCCTTTGCCTTTGTCCATGTTCAGTAATTTAGGCCCAGATTTCTAGACATCTCACTCCTCATCTACATATTTTTCCAATTTCAAGGAGGGGTTGAGTACAGCTGCACAGCAGAAACAAAAGAAGACCATCAGGAGTAACAAATGTATCATCAAATAAGCTTTTGTGGACTAAAGTTTAATTCAGTGTTAGGTAAGGCAATGGATACCAATGTACTCCCAGACACCTCCTTTTGTGTCCACCTGTTTCTCACCTGATTTTTTTAAAAAAATAAATAAATTAAGAAACAACAACAGGAATATGGAATGCTGTAAAGAGGAATACCAGCCTCTGGTTTGTTTGTTTGTTCATTCATCTGATTTATATAGCCACCCATCTCACTTTTATGTGACTCTAGGCAGCCTACAAAATTATTATGAAATAAGTAACATACATTTGGAGAAATACCAACTTCACCAAGGTCCCACTGGAATAGTAGACAACCTTTTTTGGGGGGGGTAGTACTTCATCCTCTGTACGGACAACACCCATCACAGTGGCCATCTTATGAACAGAGAAATCTTCCATGGCAGCCATTTTGTAGTATAACTACCATATATTTTCAGGATGCGAACTATGCCTCCCACCCCAAAAGGCTGTCAGCTTCATAGTTGCACTTGCTGACTCAGATTACTCAAAGGTGTACTTTGCCAGGAAAGGGGAGGGCCCAAAAAATGGCAATCCATCTTCTAACTTCCCCTTCATTAATTTCACCTAGAGATTTTTTCCCCCTTTTCTGGATGGATGACCCAGAAGTCAGGATATTTATGCTGTGTTTCCCCAGGATGGCTGACTCAGAGCAGTTGCAGAATTATATCATTGCCCAGGGTCAAGTTCACCAAAGGTTTCCAGCTCTGTCTTACAAATGTGCTATCTTTCATCATCCATCCACAGGGATCAGCACTGATAAGGCCTGTACTCTTATCATCCTATCGACAGAATACTTGCAACTTCTTTCAACTTTATTCCTATTGCAGCACTGGCACTGAATCTGAACAGAAAGGTCACATTTTCAAGTGTGGGGAGAATAAGAGAAGGAGGATGCCATGTAAACCTTTCTCTGTAATAACCCTATTTCTTCTCCAGCACTGGCCACTTTCTTTCCTGCCTAAGGCTAAAATGATACAGTATTGGGATTTTAAGGATGAGAGCCTGTCAAGACAAGCTGAGAGAGAAGTTTTCCAGAAAATGTGGAGGCTTCATTCTATTATCAGATACCAATCAGCTCATAAGCAAGAAACAAATGCAATCTTATAGCCATTCCACCTTGCCAGCACCAACTGATCTTATGAAACGTAATGCTTCCTGTCATCCTGGAAGCCATACAAAACCATCATGACATAGCCATTGAAGTCCTTTCACCCCTGAATTTGAACTAAGCTAACCAAGTTGGTAACCATCATGCCATCTTTCATCAGTGCATATATACATACATACTCATCATACGTTTCTGCTTCAGGGTGACCAACATTATCCAGTGGTTAGAAAAAGAGTGAGAAGTAGGAAGCAAAAGAGATTAAGGCAGGATATAAGAAAAAAGAAAAGCAAGACTAACTAGTTTACACCAAACCATTCACTAGGTGTTTCCATACCTTTCTATTCTTGCAAAGCAACCTTGTTTCCCTCACATCCAGACACTGACTTTTGTTCTTTGAACTTCTTAATTCTCTTCTTTTCAGGTTCTCAGCAACTATATCCAACCACATCTTTCTTGCTTTTCCCTTCCTCTCTACCCATTTACTTTTTCTTCATGTATTTGTTTTGTAATTCAGCATTCATCCTTTCTATATAACCAAACCACTTTAATGTACTTCTTTCATATAGTCACACAGTAAATAATTCAGTCATTAACTCCCTGAATAAATTCTTCCTCTAACCCCTTCTGAATATCTCACCATCTTAACTGGATAAAGCCAGATTCCAGTATGACAGGAGAAAAACGTTTCCATTAATATCTATATAACTTTTTCCTCCTATTAATGTCTTATTTTATATGCATGTCTTTTTCCCTTATCTACTTTCGCACCACAACCTTTTTGCTAAGTTAAAAGACAAAAAATGTTGAGATATATTCTATGGAATCCTTGATCATTCCAGAATTTCTGGATGCACAAAACTTAAACAGAATGGTTGTTCAGATAGATATATAGAATCACACAGAACTTACACAGATTGAAATCGTTACTCTCTTGAGAGGAAATCCCACTGACCTAGCAGGTGTCACTTCTGAAAAAGCTATCTAGTTTCCTGCATACTAAAAAACACCATTAGTGCTTTTTTAAGAGAAGCATGTTACTTTTCAGCTCAAGACTAAAACAAATATATAAAAATCCAGTAAGTACAAAAATCACTACATGAAACACACTTAAAAAAAAACCAGATAGCCACTGGAATGCCTTGTTTTTCTTCCTAATGGCTGGAAAT